TGAGGATGATAGAGACTTTAAACCGAATATTAGTTGTATTTCAAAGTTTACCTTGAATATAACAAAGATTTTCCTTATGTGTTCTGTTCACAACATCCAGGATCTCTAATGATTGCGTTTTTGGTATAAGGTCAAGAGGAGCTGATTATCTATTTAAAAAAAAAAAAACTAAAACTTGGAATCTGAAATTTCTGATTTCTATAACAGATGATAAGAACTTCAAATGGACGAAGGAATCAAGTCCCTGCCCTCTAAGTGGGTTGACTTCTGCTACTTGTTGGTAGCTTTTCAGGTGTGCGGGATTGCACGTGTCAGTGTGACACAGATCTCCTCCCTTAGCCCCTATTACACACTTGAGTGTGGGCATTTCTTTGATTTTACAAGTGAGGGACTGAGGTCTAGGGGCCTTTCCAAGGCTTCAACTCTGCCTGGGTCCCAATGGGCAAAGTTGTAACTAGACATAAAGTGACAGTTTGGGGGACATGTTCCCCCACCTGGGCCCTTCCTGGGAATCATCAACCATTGCCCACCTTGTACCTCCTCCTTCCCCGCACACTTTCTGCCTCAAGTTGGGCCAATTGAATGTCTTATTCTGGATAAACAATACTGCTAATAAAAAAAAATTCCTTAAAAATGTGTGTTAGTTTAGGAATAGACATTTGTGAATTAGCAATGGATTTAGACTATTTCATAGTAATAACAGCTGCATGAATTTTAGTTAATTCATGGGGAAACCTGTTGAGGTGACTTAGGAGATAACATTTCAAAAGCAGCCCTTTTGTGCCAGAGTAGTGACGGAAGTAGGGTCCTGGGGAAAATTTCTGCCTCCCTGAAATCTCTGGCCTTACTGGTCAAAGTAAAAGAAAATGTAGTTTCTGTTAAAGAAAACGTAATTCTGTTTATGAAACTTACCACCAAATGGGTGACCCACTCAAATATTATGCTACTTAACTTTCACACGGTACCTACTTGGTATGAAGTATCCAAATGTCATCTCATTTAACACTTGAAAAGTACCATGGAGTGATCATGTTTTCCATGTCACGACTGAGGGCACTGAGATTCAGGGTCATTAACCAAGACGTGGCACAAGACGTGGTCTCAGAATGGGGAAGTGACTCTCTCCCTGCCCCATCAACAAATGGGCTCAACTCAGTATGATACTTTGGGGTTTCAGGTATCTTCTATATTAAAAAAGAAATTTAGGACAATGTGGGCAGCAGAATATTAGATATAAACCTGGAAAGTTACTGTGACCCAGATCTTGATGTGCTGAATGGAGTTTGAACCTCTCTAATCTAGACCTTGCTGAACATTTTTTAGAGAGAGAGAGACACAGAAAAAAGACCAGTTTGCTTTTCACTGCCAGCAAGATTAAACTAGGTTCAGGTTAAGTCCCAAGCCATCTGCTGGGGTGCCGCCTCTTACCTCTTACTGGGGAGGCCAGCCTTTTGTTGTATTCAGGTTTCCACTTGACTGGATGAGGCCCATCCACATGATGGAGGACCATCTGCTTACTCCTAAATCACTGATTTAAACATTAATCTCATCCAGAAACACTCTTCAACTTTACTCAAAAAATTACTATCA